AGCCTGAGTCTTTTCCACAGCCTAGTTGTGCTCAGTATTATTTTATTTCCATTTTTATATTGCCTCTGTTTTTATTTGGATAACTTCGTAGTGTCAAATTCAGTAATATACATTTTTTTGTTATATTCTTTATTGTAAGTTATTTATTTATTTATTTTGTTGTTGTTGTTTTTGTTGTTGTTTTGTACTGTGGGATCGAACTCGAGTCCTTGCTCTTGCAGGCAGGTGGCGGAACCACTGAGCTAAATCCCTGGCCCCCTCTAATTGTTTTTTTAATCTCAAAATTTGTTTTCTTTTTTTTAACTTAGGAAAGTGTAACTTTTTCCTTTAAGATATATTTTAGATGGTTACAAAGCATGTTCAATTTTTATCTATCTTCCAGAATATATATTTTACAGTTATAGGAACTGATTTTATATTCAGCTTTAGTATTTCTATAACTTGAAATTTCTTGCCTTTTTGTGTTTATTGTATGTTGTATTTTTGTATGGCATGTTTTTTATTTAATATCATACAGTGTGAATTTTGCCTCTTTAGATAGTAGATAATGTTAATCTTACAAACTTTTTTGAGATTGTTCTTGGACACAGAAAACTTGCTTGGAAATAGTTTGATCCTTTCAAGTATTCTTTTTAGACTTTACTTCTGGGGAAAGAAAAACTCTTATTTTAGGATTATTTTGATTCTCTGCTGAGGCAATATCTTTCTATGAACTCTCTGTCATGTCCTGTAATTTAAAAGATTTTACATTTTGGTGAAGCCATGAAATTTTCTTGATCATCTTAGTTTTTGGATTGTTCTTCCTGTTTTAGTTTTTTTTTTTCCCTTTCCCAGGTACTACATTTCCTTATACTAGTTTGTGAACAGGATTCACCTGAAACTGAAGGAGAACAGCCCTTTTCAGGAGATTATTTAATGTTTTGCTCTACTCTTTAGTACTTTTTGCTCTAGAATATATTGTCTTCCTCTCTCCAGATTCCCTGGCCTCTACTTAGCTCAGGTAGAATGTCCTATTTATATTATCTCTTTTCTAATGTCACCCTCATGATTCCATTCAGGAACTAATCTAGAACAGTTAGAGAGCTCAATCGTTTCTGTTTTCTTGGAAAATGATGTGCCTCATTTGAGGGATACTATATGAAAATCATTGTTTAATATAAATTGTGTAAATTTCTTTTGGTTCTGGAAGGTAGGGTAAATTCAATTCCTGTTTTTCCTTGGTGAATGAAAGAAGCCATCAATTCAAGTTGAAAAAGTATTGTCTCTTTGCTTTGAAACCCAGAAATGAGTTAAAATGCACATCTTGGAATTTTTTTTCCATATGGGAGATTGAACTCAGCACCTTGTTCTTGTGAGTGGAGCCACTGAGCTAAATCCCCGGTCCAACATCTTGGAAATACTACTTACACCATCTCCTGAACTTTCAGGAAGTATTTACAGATGTTTTTATCTATTTCATTATATGAAAATTTGACTGAAACTTTTGGGTTTTATTTTTATTTGATTAGTCTGTAAAATATGTTAATAGTTAATAATTGTATTAAACAAATTTTGGTCAAAGTTAGTTGACATTCTTCAGTAGAAGTCATGCTTAAACATTATAGAAAAGCCAAATTTTAAAAGTTAAATGACCTTTTCCACCATGAGCTAATCCTAAAATTACAACAAAAAAAATCACTTTGTTGGGTGAACATTTTGAGCCAGTATAAATAGTGTGGAAGTCAACATTTAATAAAATTGAGTTGCGGTTACTTAGAAATACTAACATGGGATACGGCCCTTGGGCATGTGAACATAAACTATGCTTTTTTTATTGCTCAACTGACTCAACCTCTCTCTTTTTCTCTTTTTCCATTTATGATCTGATTTTATTTTTATAATGTGTCCTAATATGTTTTTTTACTATGCAGAAGCCCCAAATCAGAAGTCTGTGTAGTAACACAGCAATACGACAGAACAAGCAGGCTAGATGCCTGTTGACATGTTAACTCAATGTCAACAGGCTAACGACCCTAATACAGTAGAACAAATGAAATAAATGATCATCATAAGGACCACCAGATCCAAATTATAGCAGTATGATCAAAATGACTGTGGGAAATACCAAAGCAAGGGAAAATTAATAAAATGACTGATATAAATGGTGACAAGTATCTACATATGTTTGCTTGCCTCAGGCAAAGTGAGAATGGGAATCAGAAGTACAGTTTCTAAAGTTCTGACCATTTATTAGCCACTTTATACATCTTTTAGCTAAATTGTTCAAGACATAATGTAGCCTACCTGGTGTTATATAGAAAGAGTAGAGCAAACCATGAGGTTTTAAATGTAGGGAAATAGCTATTTGCAACTAAATCATGTTTTTGAATTTATGCAACAGGATGAATAAAACATACCTTATTTAATTGGTATTAAATCCTTTACTGGATATGTGATGATTTACATAACACTTTGTCTGAAATTTGGAGATAGAATTCATCATACAATTTATTTATATTATTGGAAGATAACTAGATAAGTTACATACAAACTTTGGGATAAATTTTTTTTTTTTTACAAATTCAATTTCCACCTCTCTCTTACTTCATATTGTATACTACTACAAAATATCTGAGACTGGATAATTTATAAATAAAAATATTTCTTCTTGATTCTGCAGGGCAGGAACCCATGATCAAGGCACTGATACATTCAACTGTTTGGTGAAACAACATCCTCTCTATCAGAATAACACCATGTCCTCACATGGGAAAAGTTGGATAAATAAGAGCACAAGTATTGCACTACTGAATATAGTCTGTTTTATAAGGGCCTCAATCCCATTCTCTAGAGAAGAGCTATTTTACCCAGGCTTCTCTTAGAGGCCTCCTCTCTGAATACTATAATTTTAGAAAAGATACATTCAAATCATAGCACCCTTTTTTTAAAAACCTGGATTAACTTATTAAATTATTTAAATTTTTATTGTTTATTTTATATTTGGCTTTCTAAAGGAAAGGTCACAACTATATCCATTTTACTAAGTGTGTATAATGATTCAATCAGTTAATTCAGGAAAAGCTCAGACAATAGCTGGGATATTAAAAACATTCAATAAATGTTAGGTAATAATGTTTCCATTCATTTATTATAAAGGCCATTTTTTTCACAGCTGTGCTTTAAAAATATATTTTGTCAGGTTTTCGGCCTTATACAAAATGTCATATAACCGTTTGAGGAAAGAATTGCTCTTGCCACATGAAAGTATCTTGTGATACATTGGTTCCAAGCATAAATATGCTGCATGGATTTTACAAGTGCACATACAGGTGAGTCTGAATAACAACAGATTAGAAAAATTATTCTAGCATGAACAGTCATAAGCAGGATGTCTTTCTGTTATAATTTCCTGTTAAGGATTTTTTTCTAGTAAATTTTGCTTGAGGATTCCTCAGTGCATCCTAATCTGCTTCTGACACATTAATCACTTTTATATTCCTTGGATCAGTGGGTCATAATTGTACATTGAAGATTTTCACCATGAAAGAATTGGAGGCACTGTCTTGTTTCAATGCAAGCCTTTTGTTATTTAATAACATCTTAAATATTTTTTAGCTCCACTCATTGGGATAAATGGAGACATATATTCTTCAGTGAGTATTTGTGAGGATTTATTTTGCTTTTTTTTGGCCATAATACATAAAAACAACTGAGATCTGCACTTGGCAAACTTAATAATGTAAAGGGCCAGATAGTATACATGTTAGACTTTGGGACTATCTCACAACTATTCATTTTTGTCGTTATAACATAAAAACAACCATAGACAATATGTAAATTTATGAGCAGGGGTTCCAATAAAACATTATTTACAAAAATGCGATTCCACAAGTGAATAATTTTTAGCAACCCATGAAGAAATTTAATTCACCCTACTTTCTAGGCTTGCTTGAAAGTCAAAAATATTAGTGTTAGAATGAAGCCTACACATAGAATAACAAGGTTTGTATTCCTTGTGGATTCAAATATGCTACAATTATAGGTTAATTTACTCCACCTCATTAGGTATATATACTTTGCAAGAAGAAAGCAAATCATTTCTAGTAATGTATTAGTGTACACAGAGAGGTAAGAAAATAGTTGCATACTAAAATAAGCTGGATTAATTTACTTTGGTGGAAGCACATTTGTAGTAACTATAGCATTTGAATGATCATTAGCTTAAACGTGTCTGAAAATTTCTTTGAAAATTTGCTCCTTTATATCAAATAGGCAGGTTTTTAGTATTGTAGAAATTTCCACTAAAATATGTGGAACTGATTTTTAATCCTTCTAAGTTTTGGCTCTTTCTATAATAACAAATTATACAAATCTTGTGGCTATGCCATCAGCTTAAATAATCTTTCAAGTTTTAAAAAATATACTTCAATTACACACAAATTAATAATAATAATTCCAAGTGTTCACACTTTCTCAAAGCAGATAAATTGTAAATGTTTGCTAATCATTTGACTTTCAAAACAGTTCCTCTGCCAATAGATATCAGTGGAATGCTGGGTGCTTAGTAATTAATGCTATCACACATCTAGAATAAAATATTTGTAAACAAAGTAAGTACATATATTTCTATGACTATGTTTCACCAACTCTATTTTTATATATATACTTCCATCCCGAGTTCAGGTTGTCATAATTATGGTGAATAAACTACTGGTGCCACTGATATATGATCAAAATACAACACAAATCTACAATCTCTTGGAAATATGCATATGTAAATACAGTCAGATATATTATGGTATTGTCTTCTTTGACAGATGCCCTAGGAAACATTTTGCAAAGAGTTTTCTGGACCTTTGGTGACACAGATTATAAAGTTGTCATCCCTGCAGTATCTTTCTTTTCTCTGCAATCTCACTAGTTGCACTCTGAACGTGTGCTGAGCTCAAATGGCATTTATAAACTTGGAAATAAAAAATGAGAGGAGGGAGGAGAGTGCTGGCTTCAAAGAGAGAAGATGAACATCATTGGGCATGGAAGGAAGAATTGATTTATTGACAAGGAATGTTAGAATGACTGAGATGTGTCCAGTCTTTTAAATTGCTTTCCATTTGTCTCTAATTCAAGTTTTTGGCACTCTGTTTCTCAATGAATGGCAGAACTTTCAGAAATAGATCAGCTAGATTGTGTTTTAAATCAATATTGCTTTTTTGGATGCCCACCTCATGTGTCAGACTTTGTCTTATTTTTAGTTTTATCAGTCTTGTGCCAGGAAGAAATAATTGATTACTTTTAATATTGTTTTAGGTATTTATCAATTTTTAAATTATTTCTTGGCATGATAATTTATAAACCTAGGCCCGTTTTTCTCTAAAGTTGTACTATGACGCAAAAATCAACCACAGCAACAGAGATTTATTGACTTCTTCATGACATTCAAAGAGTCACAAGATATGGGTAAGGTGGTTCCCAAATGTTTTTCGACAAGGAGTCTAAGAATCAAGAGTTCCACAGGGATTGAACTAAAGAAAACAGACTGGCAAAATTGCAATGGTTGGTAACTACAAAGAATGATTGAGTCACAGACCGTGTAAGGTATCAACATTCATAAAATATATTTGTGATGTGTTATGAAATGGCACTAGATATTACAGAACATATGGATGAGGACAAGAAGACAAGGCACCTTGGAAAGGAGAGATGCACACTAGATATTCAGCAATGCATATAAAATAGTTTGAATGACTCAAACTATTTTGCTATGTTTTTCCTCCTAAATATGTTTGTGATTTTTATTATTTACAGGCTTTGTTTCTTGAAAACGAAGGAGAAATATCAAATATTGCATGCCTTACATCTACTTTTCTTTCCCATGACTCTACACAAACAAAAAGGAAATGAAAGCAAATCTGTCTGAAATTTATGAATAACTATAATCTGAAGAATCAGTAACTCCCAACATGTACTCTAGAAACTAGGCAATCAAGTGTTATCTACACATAGGCCAAAGGCTGTTAGTCTGGGAATTTTGATCACACAGAAGGACTAAGCAAATTAATAATGTTCATGAAGATTCTTAAGAAACTAAATTATAGAAAACATAAAAATATTGCTGAATATAAATTATGGATCAAAAATAAAATGTATGATGGCTCGTAACACCAAGTCTATGTCAGATTACTTGATCATAAACACACATACACATACATATCCAAATGACATTTTTGTCACAAGCAAATTTTCAACTATTTACAGTGCTTTTAATAGAAATCCTGAAATAATATACTGAATTAATTTATGATAACTTTGACCACCATTATTATAAATAGATAAGAAAATTGGGTAAAGTAATATTAAAAGAATTAATAGATTCTATTTACATTGTATAGTTTAACAAAGAATATAAATATATATATTTTATGGCTTCCCAAAAGTATAACCTCAAAGTACAAAATGACCTGTTAAATAGTTAATGGGAAAATTATGATTGTTTAGTGACTTTGAGAATTTTTGTGAAAACATTAAATATTGCAGTGTTGGTAATAGGTGGATAAAATATGAAACAAGGTACTAAAGTGAATTTACATTTAGCATGGCTTATAAGCATTACAAACATGACGAATTGAAGTGTTTATTGATTATAAAAATTATGAGTAAATTGAACCATGCCAAGCCCCTCTTTTCATTATAAAACTTATGAAGTAAAGGAAAGTATATCTTTAAGTTAGGATCATCATCCAATATTTTATTCTTTGAATTTTAAATGCTATGAAAACAGTAAGATCTTTTCTTGGGGATGGTGTCAAATGACTGTAATTCCAATACTTTGGGAAGCTGAGGCAGGGGGATCCTGAGTTCAAGCCCAACCTGGATAACCTTAGAAATTTAGCACGACCCTGTCTCAAAACAGAATGTAGAAAAAAAGGGGCAATGATAATTAAATTTATAGATACTTATAAGATAAATGCATGAATCTAATGCTGGCATAATAAAAGGGGGTGGAGGGATGTGGGAAAGCAATTTAGATGTATATGTAGATGTACCAATTCCCTACAATGAATGCAATCATTATATACTGCAAAAGTATTCTAACAAATGTTAATTTTTTAAAAAAAGTCTATGGATTTAGCTCATTGTGAAAAAACAATATAAATACATAAATGAATTCCTTTGATCTGTTTCTTCTACTGGTATCACTTCTTTTTGGACATCGATATTAAATAAAAATTATACTCACAGGTACACAGTGACATCTCAACCTAAAAGAACATGCATTTTGATAATTAATGTTGTTAAGCCCCTCTTAATATACTGATTGCCTGTTTATATGTTGTCTTTAACCAAGTCCTTTTATCATTATATAAATAAATGAACATTTTCAGGTAATATATATGTTGATTTATATGACTATGTACATATTTTGATTATGTACACCTATGGTCAATCTATAAAATTGTATATATTTACCATATTCAGGTATTTGTTTATCAATCACACCTTTGAAAAAACTGTTAAAATGAGTAAAGCATAATATTCAATCTAATCTACACATACTCTAGATAGTGTTAATTTTTTTTTACCTAACGTACCTACTAGACAATATTTACATGTATATCATACTTTAATAGACAAAAATTACTTCAAAGGCTACAAAAAGGTAAACCAAACTTCTGAGACAGCTGTAGGAAATTCTTGCTATGCTAAAATCCAACTACCTCTTGCTCCTCTAAGAAAAAGGAATAAATCTTAGGACACCTGAAAGTGAGCAAGACAGCCTTCATTCAAGTAAAATGTA